TATATATATATATATACACATATATATCATAAGCCAGATACAGAAAGACAAACACTGCCTGTTCTGATTTTTTACTTTGGTGCATAACCAATCGAATAGAAGAAAGATCACCATAAGAACAAATGGTGCTTGCTAGAGCAACTAGAAATCCAAGAGCAAATAAATAAATTATTTACCTAAAACATACTCCTTCTGAAAAAAAAATGAATTCAAAATAGATCAAATTTACATGTAAAATGATCAATGTTTTCAAACTACTAATCCAATTAAAAATGGACAAAAGACATGAACAGATATTTTAGTAAGTAAAAAAGAAAAATTGTAATGGCAAATAAGCACACGAGGAGGTGTTCAACATCATCAATCAATGAAGAAATGCTACTTAAAACTACAATGAGATTGCAGATTGTTAATTAAAACTACATATCTATCAGAATGGCTAAAATAAAAAGAGTGACAATACCAAATAGTGAAAAGATGTAAAGAAACTGAATCATTCATTCTTTACTGATGGAAAAGTAAAATGGTACAGCTGCTCCTAAAAAGAATGTGGTAATTTCTTTCAAAAAATTAAATACACACACACACAACTACCATATGACCTATAAATTACAGAGGTAGGCATTTATCCCAAAGAAATGAAATCTGATGTTCTCACAAAAACAGGTGCATAATTACTCCAGCAGCTGTATTTGTAATAGCCCAAGAACAGACTCATTCCAAATATCCTTCAATGATTTTACAAACTTTAGTAAATACATACAGTGTAACACTACTCAGGAATACAAAGAAATCACTGCTGATACATGCAACAGTTTAGATAAATCTCCAGAGAATTTTGCTTAGCAAAATAAATCAATCCCAGAGATTTATATACTAACTGATTCCACTTACATAATACTTATGAAACAATAAAATTTCAGAAATGGAACACATTAATAGTTTTAGGGGTTAGGGATAACAGAATAGAGAGGGCCAAGATAGAGAGATGAGACCTTTATAGTGTTGGAATTGTTCTTTCTGAATGTGGTCAGGGACAAACCTACATGGCTGATAATATTGTACACAATACACACACATTCTTTCACATACATACACACACACACACAACACACACACAACACACACACACACACACACACACGAGTACAAATAAAACTAGGAAGATCCTTTTTTTTTTTTTAAGTTAATGATTGGTGGAGCACTTGCCTAGCATATGTGAGGCCCTGGGTTCAATCCTCAGCACCACATAAAAATAAATAAAATAAAGGTATTGTGTCTACTTTTATTTTAGCCATTCAGCCACTCTTTTTATTTTACCCATTCTAATAGATATAAAGTTTTAATTAACAATCTGCAATCTCATTGTAGTTTTAAGTAGCATTTCTTCATTGACTGATGATGCTGAACACCTCCTCATGTGCTTATTTGCCATTACAATTTTTTCTTCACTCACTAAAATATTTATTTGTTCATGTCTTTTGCCCAATTTTAATTGGATTATTTGTTCTAATAGATTAACTTTGGTAATTACTATTAAAGTAGTAAGTTAATATCTTCCTTACTCAAGACCTTCCAATGATTTTCATCACATTTAGAATAAAATTCAAGGGCACCTTTTAATACTCAGCTGTAGACTGAATAGACATTTGTAGAATAAAATCCAAATTCCTTTGACCCCAAGACCTAACAGAGTGATGTCTACCTCTCTGAATTACCAGTATTTATTATGCTCCATCTATGCAGTCTGCTTTTCTCCTTTTATAAGAAGCTAAGATGTCCCTATCTTAAAGTTTACTTAAACTCTCTTTTCTCAGGAAACTGCAAGTCTCACTCCCTTACACAGTCATGGGTCAGTTCATATATAAACACTTCAGAAATGACTTTCTTGTTTAGATAAACAGCTTTCCTCTCCTCCTATCTTTAGCTCTCTTTCCTACTTCTTTTATTTTATTCTCAAAACTCTTACCAATGTTCAAAATAATAGGTTTACTTGTCTACTCTGTCCAATCCATAAGGATATAAGAGCAGAGATTTCATATATCTTATCTGCCACACTATCCTAGTACACAGAATAAAGTCTGGTATAATATAGGTATTCAGGTAAGGTACAATCCACAAAGGCATGAACATGTCAAACACCCTGCACTAGGCACTATGCTAAGTGCTTTTACACGCACTATCACATTTAGTGCTCACAAAAATATTTGGACCTACATCCAATTATTTTTCATTATTTAGTATAACAGTAAGGTAGCTGTGTAAAAATTAAAATAGAAGTTTCAACAAAAAAACACAAGCTTATTTCTTTTTACTCAACAACTAGAGTCTAAAGGACATGGTGATACCACAGTACTGAGGACCTAGGTTCTTTTTACCTTGCTGCTCTGTCATCCTTAGCCCTGCAGCTTTCAGCTCAGAGTGTAGGATGGCAGCTCCAATTCCTGCCATTATATTTATTTTCCAAAGAAAGAAAGGGAGAAGGAAAAAGGGTATGCTCTTTCCCATTTAAAGTCAGAACCCAAAAATCCAAACATATGAAGTTCATTTCCAATTGTAGTAGCCAGAACGTGGTCAAATGAGTATACTTGGAATGTAAAATCTTTATTTCCATTTCAGAAATTTCTATTATAAAAATAAAAGAAAAATAGATATTGGAAAGACAATTAGTCTCCTCTATCATAGTAACTGAACACAGTACAGAGATAAAGAAATGGAAGACCAGAAACATTAATTAAATTTTCTAAGATCAATAAGAAGTAGGGTTCAGATTTCAAGTCAGTCTAACTCCATAGGCAAAATTCTTAACTACTATTCTAGATTCCTTCATTATGATATTCTGTTCTACTCTACTCAAGACCTTTATTCCATTAACAAAGAATTCGTCTTTTTATGAAACTGATAACTATACATTTGTACCATGTTCAAAAAAAATTAGTAATACAAAAAAATCTCTTTCTACTAGTAGTACCAACACTTTCTTCAATGTTAAATATGTATTTTTAGAGGACATCTTCATATCTGGTTCTTAGAATCCATTAGTGTGGGGGAAAAAAGGTCGTAATTAACAAGTACACACTCAAAAGAAAATGACAATTAAATACTGGCAAATTAAGTACTAATGCAAATGAATTCCAATTTTTACCTCTCCTAGAACTTGCACACATAAGTTCATTCTCTAAACTGACAGAATACATAAAAGTCCTTGCTGACAGACAAAAAATGTAGTAAAGATGGAAAGTTAGCAAACAGGACAAAATGGAGTATATAATCATTCAGATCAACTAAAACAGATTCAGAATTAAGCCAAAAACAAACCTGGTTTTAGCCTGCTATATGGTTCATATTCATGTTCCAAGGCACAAACAATCATTTTCAAAATCCTATGTACTGCACTGCTATCCAAGCGAAAATCAAGGGGACCTACAACAAGGGTTTTAGTAGACTTCTCTTGAACTGTTCCCAAATCTTCATTTTTCCCAGTAGAAAAGTCTTGTTGATTTGCAGAACCTATAAGAAGTTTAATTTTACATAAGTATTTTAAGCATCAATTAGATATACCAAGTATATATTTTAATATCTCACTTTTATCTTTTTAGCTTCTAATAACTAAATGCCTACAAAGCAATTCTCATCAGCTAGATACAGAGAGCCCACGTTATTTATCTTTATGTCTGTACAGATTCCTGTTATCTAATGCTACAAGCACTACAAAATCAAAATGGTCAATCTTAGAAAATGTTCTGTAAAACCTAAAGATCTTAGATCCATTGTTTTTTATCTAGAGAAACTTTGAAGGAAATTTCACTTTACTACAATTTATCTTCAAGTTTCATAGAAAATTAGTTTAAAAATATACGTGCACAAGGACTTTGAGGGTTACCTAATGACCATCAAAATGAACATTGTTACCTGCTTTGAAATATGTCAGAATAAAACTATTATGACTTTGCTCTATGATACAGTACTATATCCCTAGATCCTTCATCGCCCATATACTGAAGAGGAACAAAAGCTTTTCTAAAGAAATCTTGGTTCTAGCAACAGACATTTTTTATTATCTAATACAAATTCTTATTAGAATATACAAATTCTAATATATATTAGAAATAATATATAAAAAATATATAGGAATATATAGGGGCCAGGGTTGTGGCTCAGCGGTAGAACACTCATCTAGCACATGCAAGGCACTGGGTTCAATCCTCAGCCCCACAAAAAATATATAAATAAATTAACGTATAAAAAATAATATACAAACCCATTATTACATGTGACAATATAAAATATTTTTTAAATCTTAAGCCGTTTTGTTTATTCAAACGAAGAGGAAAATAAGAGACTTTCCAGCATTAATAAAATTTTAGAATCTAGAAAGACCTAATAAAATACAAAAAGTCTGTATATGTACCTTCTAATAACTTTACAAAAATATATAAGGGAGTACAGTTAATATTTAGTGTCAGTAGCATGAACAAAATTAAATGTATTATTTATATACTTATTAAGATGACTCAGTAGGCATGAATTTTTTAAGGTGACTATGTAATACAAATACAAAATCCATACATAGACTTACGTGTCAATTAAAACATACAAAGTTCATCTGACACATATTTCTGACATGCATAATTAACATTGACTCACAGAAGATATGCATAATTAATATTGATGCATAGAAGTTAGGTATAAATAACACTATTCAGATCTCCCATAAATGGTTATGGGAATTAAATAAACTAACACATGTAAGACACTTAGAACTCTGCATTTAAATCCAATAAATTATAAGCATCATCATCCACACATAAGTGAATACAGATTCACAATAAGAAATATGAACATTTAAACATAGCTACATAAAAGCAAGGAAATAAAAAATAAAAAGATTACTGAGTAAAGAAATATGAACACATATTTAAAGTACATTGATAATCACAAGTGAACAGTGGAATTTTGTTATTTTCTTTAAAAAAAAAAAAAGTTCAGCTGCAAAATAAAGAGATGTTGCCAGGCACAGTGGTGCACACCTATAATCTCAGCGAGTTCAAAGCTAAACTCAGCAAAAGCAAGGCACTAAGCAATTCAGTGAGACCCCGTCTCTAAATAAAATACAAAATAGGGCTGGGAATGTGGCTCAGTGGTCAAGTGCTTCTGAGCACAATCCTGGGTACACCCCCCCCTCCACACACACACACACACAAAAAGGATGATTCAAGACAGATTTCAGAGATGAAAAATGACACTCCCCCCCCCCCAATAAAAGACAATGGCTTTAATGCTGAAAAAGAAATCATGATTATAACCAAAGTTCTGGTTTGAGCAACTAAAAGATAATGGTAAAATTTTCCAAGAAAAGGTGACTGAAAATAAAGAAGGAATACAGGTAGTAGGTGGTCATGGGGATGTCAACAATTCAATTTTTTACGTACTCAGTTTTGAGATATTTGTGAGACACAAAAGTGAAAATATCAAGGATACACTAGATATTTAATTCTGAACCTTTAAGAAGTCTATACTAGAAATTCAGATATGTGCATCAACAACATAAAGCACTTCAATGCAAGAAAAGAATGAGATTTCTTCAACAGAAAGTTCAGGGGTAAAAAAACGAATCCAGGGACTGACTGATGAAAACAACATTCAGAAAACATTACAAAAAGGAGAAAGCAGAAAATTACTACTCTATCGTCTCTCCTCATTAGATAAAATTTACATCAAGATCAACTCTGTGGTGTGGTCTTCAATCCCTCAAACAAAAGCTGTCAATTTCTTACTTGGACCGCTCATATCTATTTATATGACTATTCTTAACAAATAATATAATGACCATTAATTTAAATGCCTAATTCTGCACTACTTGTTGGCTTCTTAAGAAACATTTTGATCTATTTATCCACAGTACCTATCATCTAACATATATTATGCTGGATCTTAGTTAAAAGGCTAAGATACAATAACTTAACACAAACAGATAATTTTAATACAATAATGTGAAAAAATAAAAAGAGACCCTATTTTTCAATATAAAAAAGACCAAAGTCATAATAAGCACATCATATGAGCACATAAAATATCAAATGGTGAAATATTTTAAATCATCATTGACTTCCTATAGCAAAATAATAATTACATAACAAAATGATAAACTTATGGGTTTTTCAACGGGAATAATTTGTTTCTACTTTTTTTGCTTTGAAACAAATCCTCTTTTTAATAAAAATACCTATATAATCTTCAAAATTAATTCAGTTCAGAAAATAAATTGTTTCTTTTGGACAAGTTAATGCAATATAAAATCTAATGCTTAAATTTTTAATATTTAGTACATATGAGAACCATCAGTAATATGTCTTTTCAATCAGCTGTACAAAAAAAAAGGACAAAATGCCAAGATTCCAAGAAAATTCTAGCATAACATTAAAATTAAACCATTCCCTAAAGTAACAGAATATAAATATAGTAACAGAATACAACCAGTTAAATGCCAATTGACTCTAAAGATGCCTTTGTTTCTATTGCCCAATTTTGTTTCTATTGCCCAAAGAAAAGCAAACATAAAGAAAAGAAGCTAATACCTTTGCCACTGGTGCTCTCCATTGTGTACAGGTAATCCATGTAAAAAGCCCCAAACCTTTGCATTCCAGCTATCTCAGTATATGTCTCCTGCAAACAAAGCAATGCAAACATACATTGTATAGAAGAAAGTTGAGTTTAAAACCTGATAGTCAGATATATATCCTTACCTAGATTATATTAACTCAAATGATTATCTAAACAAAAGAACAGATTGGTACCCAAAGAATTCACTTCTGAGAAAGATAATGTTTTCTCTACTGCAGACCACACAAAAGGACTTTCATAATTCTACAGATATTTTGGCCACTTTATCAACAATTTCTAGTTACTGAGTACCTATAATGGAATAGATATTATATTCTTGACCTTTATCACTATCACAAAACTGCCTAATAATATATACTCTCAAATGGGTCTTAAAACATTTTAAAGACTAAAGACATACTAAAATATTCTAAATGAATATTAATTGTGCATGTCAACATTAAATTCTTTACTATTAACTATGAAAATAAATCTTTTTTTAAAAATTTTTTTAGTTGGAGATAAACAAAACACCTTTATTTTATTTATTTATTTATTTATTTATTTATTTTATGTGGTGCTGAGGCTCAAAGTCAGTACTTCACACATGCTAGGCAAGTGCTCTACCACTGAGCCATAATCCCTGCCAAAAATAAATCTTAATGAAAAAAAATATAAATTATTTATTACGTTAATCTTCAGGTAACTTTTTTGAACTTTAAAATTTATTTTATAAATTAATATTCCACAAACATTTTCACATACTCTTACATAGTACTAAAATGTATACATAGTGAAAAGGGAAATTCATTTCTTCTCATCAACCTCACATGCTAGAGGTAACAAAAATTAATAAAGAAAATTCTATACATTTCTTCCAGGACTATTTCAGCAGTACATGGACAAATAAACTATGGTTATTATTACATAAAACTAAACATCTCTGTGCATTCCTTAAGCCTATCTAGATGTAGAGGCTGGGCAAAAACATTCTAAATGTTTCAGTAAATGAATTTGCATTCAGAAGATATTATCTGAGAAGAAATATGGCAAACACAAGTATTCACACAGAGTGTCCACCCAATCAACAACACAGAATTTGGCTCAAATATACTGTCTGACCTTATGATGAGCTGCATCCAAGATAAATTCTGCACGAGTGCCATTATTTTCTGGGCTTCGATAATCAAACAATGAATTTGTAAGGTATGTCAAACCTTTTGTGCTTAAATTTTCACCACAAATGAAGAAACTGGCTTCCTGAAAACAAATGTAAAATTTCTAAACAAGCGGAAAAAATCATTAAACTGTTAAAGAAAATAAAACCTTAACTTTATAACATCCATTCAGTATTATTAATATTTGAGGAATAAGATAAGGAATGCTGTCTCCACTTTCATCGCCTATTTTTGGCAAAGAACATTTTTACAAACCAAATAGGAACTCTAAGTAGCTGCCACAAAAAGAAAGAAGAAATATTTATGAATTGGAAATTTTTAGAACTCGTATCCAGGTGTTAAGTGCTACCAACTTTTTTAATTCCCCTGTGTTCTATAATTTCTTGCAGGGGAAATGTACAGGAAAATAGTAAAGCTTCTCTCTCAAGCCAATGATATATGCAGTCTAGCAAATTTTATAAGGTTAAGAACTTCATTGTCCCTGCATCAAATTCAAAAAAGGATGGAGAAAAGAAAATTTTAACTTACAGTTTCACTTCTATTCATATTTTCTTCAAAATCTTTAACACCCATAATTCCTTTAAGACACATGGCTCTGCAGCCTACAAACCCAATCTGGCAGTCAAAGAAAGGATCTCCCATCATAAGGGCCTATAAGAGGAAGGGAAACATTAGAATTAAAAAACACATTCAATGAAAATATTACATGCTTTCTTCATAAAATTTCTAAATTAGCTAGACATCTTTAGACACCCAAATGTATTCTCCTTAGATCATAAACTGTATGAAAGTAGAAACATTTATGTTATGTTTTTCCTGTACTCTCAATCCTCTGTATCATCAATGATTTATACTTCATGACTGATAATATGCACATACATATCCACACATACATATAAGATAAACAAAGAAATAAACTAAATGAAGGAATAAATTCATGTTGCATATTAAAGTCTTTGTTAAAGAAATAATTATTCTGGGCTGGGGCTGTATCTCAGTAACAGAACACTTGCCTAGTATGCATGAGGCACTGGGTTTGATCCTCAGCACCACATAAAAACACACAAATAAAATAAAGGCATTCTGTCCATCTACAACTACAAAAAAGAAATCTAGAAAACAAAAGAAATAATTATTCCAACCAATACTAATGAATACTAAAACAGAAATATACAACTAAGTATGATATTTTAAATATACTACTATTATTAACTATCATTAACTTGTTAACTGTAAATATTAACTTTAAAAACAAATATTTTTTTAAATATATTCAGTATTGAGAGATTACCTCAATGGTAGTTCCTTCTTGTTCCCAACACAATACTTCCTTAGATTTTACTTTCTGTGGGCTATAGTAACTACTCTCAGCTTGCATTTCAGTGAGCTAAAAAATAAGAATATTAAGTAAATCAAAACAAGTATTTAATGGTAATATGCTGTCATTAATGATGACCTGATGAAAACATGGCCAATTTTAGATTCAGGAAACTTAATTATTAAGCAGGAAAACAGGTGCTGCAAAAACAGCTGTAACACATTACTCATGGAATTAAAATTAAGTATACTAGTCTAAACTTATTTACCATTTTTTTAAAACTCTTTCTTAATACTGCTTTAAAAAGTTAAAGCTATGAGAAATAACAGTCTCACTTATAAAACAATTCATATATTCTGCCAAAATTTACATATTATAAACGTAATTCATTTATTTTCACTAATATATTCAGCCATGTTTAATTTCAATCATTTCTAAATTTTCACATTATTTGTAATTTTTTTAAAAAGAAGAAAGAAAGCTATAAAAAGAAGAAAGAAAGCTATGAAGAAACAAATAAGTCAACAAAACTTTTTGGCTCCCATGAGGAAGGTAGAATCCTGGTACTATCTATCAGTCTCATACTATATCTCATAGACTCATTCAGTTATTCAACAAATACTTTTTGAGTGGCCTCGTAGATAACAAGAACTAAATGAAATGCTGACAAAAGCAAAAAATTGGTTTACAAAAGTATGACCTAGGGGCTGGGGATGTGGCTCAAGCGGTAGCGCGCTCGCCTGGCATGCGTGCGGCCCGGGTTCGATCCTCAGCACCACATACCAACAAAGATGTTGTGTCCGCTGAGAACTAAAAAATAAATATTAAAAATTCTCTCTCTCCTCTCTCACTCTCTCTTAAAAAAAAAACATTAAAAAAAAAAGTATGACCTATATTATCAAAATTAGATCATTTAAGTCATTTTTAAAATTTTTCTCTAAATAGAATGTGGTAACCCAGTATAATCATGGTATGGAAAAAAGAACATTATAAAACTCAGTTAAAGTCTGCAATTTAATAGTCATGCAACAACTTTGGCGTCTTAGTTTTGACAAATACACTGTGATAGCCTAAGATGGCACAACAATAGGAGAAAATGGGTAAGCAATGTAAGTGAACTCTGTCCCTTTTTTGCAACTTTTCCATATCTAGAACTACAAAATAAAAAATCAATTTTTAAAAAATTAAGATACTGCCTAGGTTTGAAGAAGATTTTTAGTTACCATTATTCCCATTAAAAGGATTACATAGTATTCTTCAAATTTAAACACAAAGTCAAAGATCATATTTTAAAAAAACTATTTAAGTAAATAAAACTTATTTAATTAAAAGATTACAATTTTAAGTCTAACTACATTTATTGAAAACCAATTAATTATTCTCATTTTTATAAGAAAGTTTTTATTTACTATATTTTTCAAGTAAGTCCTTAATTCCTGGATATTCCTACTACTGGTATATTCAATGCTATTTTAAAGTACAATTCTGTAAGCTAAAACGCTTAAATAAAATTGAATTTTTTAAACTTGATCACCCTTCAGCTGTCTACAATTACTGCAGAGAAAAAAGCAATTAATTGATTAAAAGGACTCAAACATTACAAGAACAATTTTAAACATTATTAGAAAAATGCTACATTTAATTTGGCATGATTTTTGTTGGACTGATATCAACTGTTCAAAATGCTAATGCAGAAACATGACCTTATTTTCTGACCAAAATATGGACCACAAATTAATTCCATACATTCTTCAAATCCAAGCTGATCCATGAATTCTGTTTTCCTTCAAAATATCTATATATTTTCCTTAAAGAAATCTTTGAGAAACAAATATTTTAAAATTTTAAAAAAGATATATTTAATAACGAATACTGCCCAAAAAAATCCATAAAAGTTTTGTATATAAAAGCTGATTCTGACTCAGCTGAAAAAAATTATTTTCAATAATAGAAATATACCGGAATAATTTCAAATTTAACAGTAAACAGGCAAAACCCTCCAGAAAAGATTGCACTTAAAGATCTGGACTTCCCTAGCGAACTCATATTAAAAATAAATCATGCTGGACTCCTAAAACCAAAAACTGTTAAAACTTCAGGTCTACAAGTAGCATTAAAGTTTATCAGAAATGGATGTAATCTAGAAATACAGATGGCAGAATACGCTGATGAACTGGATGTGGTAGAAGAAAAAAAGATATAATTGCTGAAGTCTAAGCAAGTGAGTGAATAATGTTGCAATTCAATGAAATGTAAAACAGTAAGAGGAAATCAGGAGTAAAGGAAAAAAATCAAGTGTTCTGTTTTTGACTGGAATTAATGACTATTAGATATGCAAGTGATGACAAAATAGTTCAAAAATAATACAAAATAGGGAACTAAATTCTAAAGCTCAAAGTAAAGACTGGAGGCAAAAATCTGGTACTCTGTCAGCAACTACATATGATCAAATTATACCACTTTAAGAACCATATACAATAAGGCTAAAGACCAAGTCCCATATGCCAATATTTTAAAGTCAGACCAAAGAGAAGCAGCAAGAAAGAAGATTTTAAAAGTACATGGTAGGGGCTGGGGATGTGGCTCAAGCGGTAGCGCGCTCAGCTGGCATGCGTGCGGCCCAGGT